CATTTCCCCTACTGTTTCATAATTAAAACACTGCTGAGATCATCCTTAAATATTAATCTTTGACTCCATGCATGATTATATTCCTTCCATTAGATTTCTAGAAGTACAATTGCTAGGGTAAAAGGCATGAATATTTTTTACTGTATCTTGACTTTTTGCCTTTCAAAAAGAGTGGATAGATTTGTATGTTTCAGCACGGGAGGTGTCTGTCTCCCTACATATTTGCCAACATTGACTATTATTGCATTTTCAACCTTAAAAATTTTCTAGGTGAAAAAACTGAGTATCATGTCAGATATTCTACTTATTTATTAGACAGTTAAGATTTTGTATTTTCTAAATTTGATTCCTATTTTGTGTGTAGAAAGTGAATTGGAACTTTTTCTTAGTCATGTATGAAGTTTTCTTTTTACATCTTTTTACACTGATGCTTTGTTGTCATTTTTACAACTAGGTTTTGCTGGCTGTACTTTGTCTGCTTTTTTTTTTTTTAATGTCCAGAAGTTGCTTTTATGTAGTCCTACTTAATGTTCTGTTATGGAATGCTCAGTTACTCTTGGGTCTAGCAGTTCTCTCTATTCCAATTTTTGATCTTTGTATTTCTAAATTTTGTTCTTACATTAAACACAATATCTTCATTTTTCTCTGAGGAAATCCAGCAACATATTTTAATAGTCTATGGGCAATTTCCCAGGATTATACTTCTCAGGTTGTCTTTAACTATTTGTATTGTTTCTTTTACTGGGTCATAAACTACTGTAAAACATAGCATCTTAATGAATATCTATCATGTCTCAGTTCTGTGACCAAAACTCATAAATGATTTACCTTGGTGGTTCTGATTTAGGATCTTTCAGGAGGTTATGGTTAAGACATCAGTTGAGGAGGGGGCTTGGGTGGGGAGGTGTTTGGCATAGTAGTTAGAGCACTGCTTTGGGGCAGTGTCATCCCACATCTGAATGCGAGGGCCCAGATCGTAACTCTGCTTATGATTCGAGTTTCCTGTTCTTGTGTACCTTAGGTGGTGGCCCAAGTATTTTGATCCCTCCCACCCATATGGGAGACCTGGGATAAGGTCTAACTAATGACTTCAGCCTGGCCTAGCCTCGGTTGTTGTGTACATTGGACAATAAACTGGTGGATGGCAGATCTCCTGTCTATCTGTGTGTGTCTTTCTCTCTCTGACTTACAGAGAGAGAGAGAGAATGAATGAATGAATGGAGGAGAATGAAAGGAAAAAAAGGTGGAAAGATATCAACTGGAGCTATCATCAGCTGGAGGCTCAGATGGGGTTGGCCAATCCATTTCCAGCCCAGTTAATTTACATGACTGTTTGTGGAAGGACTCAGCTTGATACCGATTGGCAGGTAGCCATAGTTCTTCATCAAGTATACTTTACCATAAGGATGATTGAGTGTCCATATAGCAGAACAGCTGGCCTCCTGCACAAGAGATGTAAGAGAAAACAAGGCAGAAATTACTTTGTCTGTTTATAATCTATCTTTGGAAGTGACATTCCATCACTTCTGCCATATCCATTGGCCACACAAAGCAGCTTTGATATAATATGGGAAGGAACTACATAAGAAGTATGCATATTAATAGGCCCAGCACAGTAGCCTAGTGGCTAAAGTCCTCACTTTGAGCGTGCCGGGTTCCCAAATGGACATTGGTTCATATCCTGGTGGCCCCACTTCACCATCCTGTTCCCTGCTTTTGGCCTGGGAAAGCAGTTGAGGATGGCCCAAAGCCTTGGGACCCTGCACCTGTGTGGGAGACCTGGAAGAGGCTCCTGGCTCCTGACTTCGGACTGGCTCAGCTCTGGCTGTTGCAGCCACTTGGAGAGTGAATCATTGGATGGAAGATCTTCATTTCTGTCTTTCTTCCTCTGTGTATATCTGACTTTCCAATAAAAATTAAAAATAGTGAAAAACTGTAAGGATTTTAAAAAAAGAAGTATGGATATTAAGAGATATCTTGGCAGCTGGTTACCATATTCTTATTCTAGGAGAAGAAATTTAGAATCAATGTATTTCCCTTTATATAGTACCTCTCTCTTCCATATCATCTTGTCATTCACAGCCTAAAGTCCAAGGATAGCATTGAAAAGCTTCTTTGATTCTGTAATCTATGATCATATTTGACTCAGAGGCCTTGTTGTCACTCCATTGCAAGTAACTAGAGAACAGTTTACATATTACTATTTTTGTCTCCTCATCAAACACTTATTAGTTGTTGATTTTGATAGAGTAGTAAAAGGAATAAGAGGCAAAAAAAGAAATTGTTTTATGCATACATATATATACACCTGTAATGATAAACATGGTTATGTGTGCATCCATATAAACATAATGCATATTCTTGGAGTAGTGGGGAAGAAGCCCAGAGCTTAGGATCAGGAAGAAACACAAAAAAAGAAAGAGACTTCTTCCAGGATACCCCGTGATAAAAAGTCAGTGAAGGGGTAGACATTTCGTATAGTGTTCAGGAGAACACTAGGAACCTCACATCACATGTGAGAGTGCCTGGCTTTGAATCCTGGCTTAGAAAAAAAACATATTTTTATCTGATAGAGTTTCAGAGAGAAGCAAAGACAGGGAGAGGTCTTCCATCTACTGGTTTACTCCCCAGATGTTTGTAGTGACCAGAACTGAGCTGATCTAAAGCCAGAAGCTTCTTCCAAGTCTCCCACATGGGTGCAGGGACTCAAGGACTTGAGCCATTTTCTACTGCTTTCCCAGTCTATAAGCAAGGAACTGAATCAGAAATGGAATATCCTGAACATGGACCAAGGCCTTTATGAAATGCCAGTGCTGCAGACACAGGCTTGGCCTACTATGCTGTGGGGCCAGCCCCTTGGCATCACTTCTAATTCTAGCTTCCTACTAATGTTGCTGGGAAGTAGCAGGTGATAGCTCAAGTACTTGGGTCCCTAGAACCAAAGAGACACAGGTTGAGTTCCTGGTTTCTGCCCCAGCTGTTGAGGGCATTTAAGAACTAAAGTAGCATATGAGTGATCTCCCATCTCTCTTTGTTTCTCTGTCTGTCTGCCTTTCAAATATATGTTTCTGAATGTTTTAATATCTTTCTGTATACCCTTTAGCCTGATACAACCTACGTGTGTGAAGTGTGTGTGTGTATATATATATATATGCAGTACACATCTGTATGTACGTTTGTTTGAAATGAATGTGTTTCCTGAATGGAGAGGGGATTCCTCAGTGATTGCTTGGAGAGTGAAAGCCTTGCTTTGCTTGTGTCCGTTTTCCTCCCTGAAGTTTGGCTGTGATTCCTCCCAGTCCAATCCAAATTGTGTTTGTAGGAGCCAGAAAGTGCTGATCATACTTCAGAATGTGGGTAAATTGGACAGGTCCCCAGATCCCCAGAGCAACTGTCTTGTTTGTGGGTTGTGATCTATGATTCCCTTCATCTTGCATTTTTAGAAAGCCAACTAGTAATCAAATACTGTAGCAACTGTTTCCTTCTGTGTGGATTTCTCTCTCCCAAATTGCCTGGTATGTGGTAGGTTGGCTCCTTAGAAAAGTGACCTGAGATTGGTCGTCAGGTTCAGTATACCCATCAATGTGGTGGCTTTACCACATTTTCTGAGTCCTGATTTCAAAAAATTTACCATGTTAACCTTAGAAACAATCCAAGTGCCCTAGGAATGCCTTCATCTATTTTCTAAAATGTTTTTTCATCATTGAAAAATAACAAAGCATGGAAATCGTTTGTTTGTGTTGCCCCAGTTTGGGTTTGAAAACTATATACTAAATAGAAAGAAGACTTCTTTGTTGTTATTGTTGTTAAGTTATGGAATTTAGGAAGGGGAAAACGGTGCTGTTTGGGCCTATCAAATGAGAACAACTGATCCAGTATCCCAAATCTCTGAGGAAAGCCAAGTGTTTTCTCTGTCTAGCTGTCGTTCAAGTTTATGTTCAACCTTTTGGGTCAGACTCCATATCCACATCTGGAGGATAGAGGGCATGATGGTTTGAACTCAGCTGAATAGGACATATACTCTGCTCTCAGAGGCTTCATATTCCTTAGAGTAAGATGATATATGGATCGTAAGTAATGTTTAATGCCAGTTTAAAACTCATGAGTAAGTCAGGGGTTATGAAAATCTCTTAATCAGGGATATCCAGAAAGATTCTAATTCACTAAACCCTCACTAATGTAAATATAGTAATTGTTGTCTATTGCCGTGTAATGAACTAACCCACAGAGACTTGAAACAACCATCTCCCTTTATTTCTTTAGGATTCTGTGGCTTGAATACATTTTAGCAGAGACAGCTCCTCCCTGTTCCACAGGGTATCAGCTGGAGAGGCTCATCTGAGACTGGAGGGGCCAAAAATGGCTTTGTTTATATGTCTATCATTGCAACTAGTGTCGCTGGAGCATTTGGAGCTGCTTTGCTATGAGGATAGCTGGACTTTGTTACCAGTAGTCTAGGTTGAAGAGAGGAACGGTAGAAACTGTAGGCCTTTGAAGGGCTGGGCCCAAACATGGCGCAATCACATATACTGCAGTCTAGTGACCAGAGCAAGTCACTGGATCATCCCAGAGTCAAGATTCACTTCTTCATGAGAGGAGGGTTATAGTGGGAGGGATATTTTTGTGGCCATTTGTGTAATCTGCCACATTAGCTCAAAACAAATAATGCTTATCTAAAATCTAAAGAATAGGACCTTATTGTTTCGAATAGCACATTTGTGGTCATTGTCAAGGCTGGCTGTGTTGTCTAAGTGTGTGCTTCATATGTGAGACTCAGTAGGCATAGTCCCCTGTTTCTGACTATGCTTATCCCAGTTTAAATAAAGGTGATTTCTGCCAGGTTTGCATTGTGAGTTATTCTGCCAAGACAGAAGTGGTCCTCTTGGCTTTTCATCTGGTCCTCCTTCCCCTTTCTTTTTACTGCCTTTGCTCTTCATCATTTCTTTGTCCATGGAAACGTCCCTGCTCACTGAGGTTCCCACCTCTCTTTCTTATTTCAGGCGCTAAAACAGGTACAGATATCAGTGATGGTACCTGTGATCCTGGATTGTCTTCTCCAGCCTCCTACATGAACCCCTTCCCAGTGCTTCATCTCGTTGAGGACTTGAGGCTGGCCCTGGAGATGCTGGAGCTTCCTCAGGAGAGATCAGCCCTCTTGAGCCAGATCCCTGGCCCAACAGTTGCCTACATAAAGGAGTGGTTTGAGGGAAGCTTGGTGAGTAGGCTCATGGCCTGATTGGGGAACACAATCATGGAATGGCATCATGATCAGGGCTGTTAACACATCCAGCCTTTTCTTGTTTCTCACTCAGTTTTGGCTAGACCCTTCTAAATGATCCTTCTCAGCAGAAGTGTAGACCCTAGCCAACCAGCTTAAGCTGAACTCTCTGTTGCTGTGGTCTGTAGTCATTACCTCCTGGGAAGAAGCCAGAACTAAAGAAGGGTAAACATGGGAGGCAAGGGTTGTGACATGGGAGTTAAGACACCGTCTGCAGTACCACCAACCGATATTGGCACCAGTTTGAGTTCAGGCTGCTAAATTTATGATCCAGATCCAAATGCCCATACATGCACATAGGAAAGCAGCGGAGGACAGCCCGAGTGCTTGAGCCCCTGAGCCCACATAGGAGACTGCCCGACCCACCTCTGTACATTGTAGCCATTTGGGGAGTGAACCCATGGGTAAAAGATATTCTATTTCTTTCTCTCTCTGTGTGTGTAGCTCTACATTTAAAATGAAGCAAATATTAAAAAAAACAAAGAAGGGTAAATCTGGAAGACACCTGCCCCAACCCAACAGACACATAACCATCTCTTCCTCAGTGATATGAATTACTTACTGACTTGTAATCCCTGCCTGGAGTTTCTACCCTCAATTGAACTCTTGTTTCTTGCCACAAATAGAGCTAGTTTACTTCTTTCATTTCTTCATTTGTGCTCCTGTTCCTTGCCCTAGGACTACGCTCTGTCCCTAGAGTAGATAGTAGGCTTGCTGAGTTTTCCTCTCCTGCTCACTTTAGCTCAGGCCTATAAACCTGCTTGGCATTACGGGAAGTAGATGAATAAGCAGAGCTATAACCATCGTATGCTTTGGTGACCTTATCTATTTCTCTGTGGAGACAAGCAGCTCGAACTTAAGATACTAGTCATATCTGGGAATGGGTGAGGTGAGGGACTAGTCCATGGAGGAGGTGATCTGGGAAACCAGAGAAAGGAAATGTGCGATTGCCTAAGCTGAGTTTGTGGATGAAGACTGGGATTCAGTCTGCCGCAGCTAGTTTCCTACACATCTGATTCAAAACTGGAAAGAGTAAGTAAAGATGGGAGGGCAGGAACAGGAGCATTCAGGTGGGAGGGAGGGCTGATGCTGAAGACCATCTCATAGGAAGGCCTTGTCACTTTTGATTAGACAGGCTATGTTCCAGATGTTCCACCCTACTTTCTGTTCTGGTGGCTTCTGTCAAGAATGTCTCATCGCCCTGCTGCTTATGAACACTGAGCAATACTTCATCATATCCATTATACATGTTATTTAATATTTTCATTAGATGGGTGTCTGTCTGCTGTTCTGTGTAATATGCCTATGCCAGCATGGTGTGTAGAATAAGATGTCTGTTTACACAAACTGGTTGATTGTGGATAGAATCCATGTTATAAACTAGCTCACCTTAATATGGGTGAGCATCCTGGATTATTCAGGTGTGCCAAACCTAATCATAAAGGTCCTTGTAAGAGCCTCCAGTACTATTCCCTGGGACCTCTTGTTCTCGCCCTCTCAGTTCTGCTCAGGACCTTATCAAGAGATTCACTGAGGTGTCTTTTCAAGCAAAAACCCTAATTATGGCAAACACATGTCTATCTCACTATATTTTGCTGTGGCAACACGTGTTAATTTCCATGGCCATTTGTTAATGTCAACAGATTGCTTTTAATCTTTTGCTAGTATCTGGCATTGTTGCAGTGAAAAATTTTGTCTAGAACTGTTTTTCTTTAGATTCTTCCTGAAAGTACAGAGTCCAAATAGAGTTTTTACTAAAATATAGGATCTCCAGTTTAATATGATTTTAGATAAACTACAAATTTTTTCAAAGATTTATTGATTTATTTGAAAGAATAACAGAGAGAGATATATATTCTATCCACTCATTCACTCCCCAGATGGCCACAATGGCCAGGGCTAAGCTAGGCCAAAGCCAGGAGCTTCATCAGCTTCTTCCACATGAGTGATAGGGGCCCTGGTACTTGGAACATCTTGTGCTGCCTTCCCTAGGCTACCAACAAGGAGCTGGATAGGAATTCGGGCTGCTGGGGCATGAACTGATACCCATACGTGATATTGGCATTATAAGCAGTGGCTTTACTCACTCTGTAATGCCCTGTGTCCATTACTGGCTTTAGAAAAGGACAGAGACCTGACCTAGTGCAATTGCTGTATCCTAAAGTGTGATAAGCCTTTACTATGTTACAATACAGCAGGAAAACCTACTGCTTTCCCAACCATTAGCAGGGAACTGGATCAGAAGTAGAACAGTTGGGACATGAACCAGTTTCCAGATCACAGGCAGCAGTTTAACCCCTGGCACCATAGTGCATAGTGCATGCCTCCTAAACACTGTGCTGAGTCTGGTAACTCTAACCCCAAAGTGTTAATATCTCTAAGGCTTTTGTCACATTTTCTGCTTCTCAGAAAGATTTTATTCATTTACATTTTGGTTGGCAGAGTGCGAGGTAAGTCTGTCACACTCATCCTGATAACAAACAGTCATCAAAATGTAAAAATAGTGTTACTAATTTCATAGGACAAACTGTTTTCTTCTTGTGCCTGCATTTCTTTTTTAGTCAGAAGGCTAAATAAATCTGTTTTTGTTTCTTAATATTCCTCTCTATAGTCTCTAAACTTTTAATATCATACTTTATCTTGCACAAAATAATTCTTCATATTTACTTGTTCAATGTACAGTGTTTTCCTAATATAAGATATTAAAATATACGAACATGAAAGATTTTTAAAGGATGGGTAAATAATTATTCTACTGCTTTCTTCTGCCATAACCCAAGAGATCATCTTTGAGCCCCTTATGTGGCCTCCCCTACCCCACACTAGTCTGCTTAGATCCTAGGTTCTTTTCTCTATTAGGGTTTCAGGTGGTTTTTTTTTTTTTTTAATTTTAACATAAAATTAGCACATTTTAAATATTTCACAATACAGATTTAGGAGGATAATTTCTTACATATTTGAATGACCCTACATAGTCCTTTGATATTTTTGTGGCATACATTTTCTTACTTTGTTTTAAAAAGCTGTTTATGGTGCTTTTTGAAGCGTAGAATTTCCAGACTGGGATTACTTTTATCAGTCTTTCCTGTTTCAGTTTTTTCTTTTCCTTTTAGTCCTGCAGAAGCCAAGCTCAGCTCAAGCCACTATTCATCAGTATCTTCCTCCAGTAGACTGTGGTTTATTTTTGTCATACAGTTAATGCTAATTCATCAACAATATTTCTAGTGTGTTGTGTGAAAAGATCAAATTTTGAAACAGTCTTTGCAAAATTTTAAACTATTTTCGAGCCAAAGGCAGCCAATATGGTTTCTAGAAAACAGCTTGTGTTTAGATTTGTAAGTCTGTTTAGATTTGCAGATCTGTTATATGGGTTATTTACAATGGCTTGAAGATGGTTTCCTTTTGGGAAAGGACGTCCCTGACAATTATCACATTCATAAATCTTTTAGAGTAATTATGGCCATCAGCAACCCATGAATGGTGCACTTTTAGGGGGTCAGAAGTTCATATAAACATTCCAAGATAGGAAAGCTAATGTTAAGGTTTTGATTCTTAGCAGAAATGTCCTGTCTGTATTTTAGGTTTTCTAGACCTGAAGTTATTTTCTGCTGTGACTGTGTATGCATTCCATACAAGGTCTTATCTATTGGGAAATAATTCAGAGCAGTGAGAAAACTAAGCTAGTATTTCATATTGCTACTTTAAGTTAGAAACTCAGGCTACTCAGACTTTGGTCTATGGCCCAGGAACTTTGGTAGCACCTGGAATCCTGTGAAAAAATGCAAATTGTAAATCCCCATCCCATAGCTCTAGATAATTCATATGCACATTATTTAAGTTTAAGAACTGCTTTGAATCTCAGCGACTCACTTGCACTGTTTTTTTAAATCATGTAAATTAGGATTCAGTTTGGAAATAGTGAGGTAGCTTGAGGGATTGGTCAGAATTGTCCAGCTCTTTCATGATTTCTGTCCCCTCTTACATGTCTGTTGCATTTTTCTCTGCAGACACACTGACATATGTCTCAGAGTTAATCCCTCATAACACTGCCTGCGTGGTCCAGCGCTGCCTCTGACATCTGTACCAATTAAATACCTTCTCTAAAAAAGTAGTATAAACAGGAGGAAGTTTATACATTGCTACAAGATGTCCACAGGCTGGGTGGTCTCAGGATTAAATCAATGGCTCTGGCTGACCTTAAGGCCTCTGGTTCTTCCTGTCTTTCTGCCCCACCATCCTTGGCAATCAGCTTTAGCTACTGGAGCTCCAAGCAACATGTTTCAACACAGACACAACTATACAATTTTGTCTAGAGGTAGGGAGTAGTGTTTTTATTTTATCTTTTTTTTTTAAAAAGGCTTCTTTATTTTTATTTGTTAGATTTTATAAAGGAGCAAGAGTGGCGGGGGCGGGGGAGAGACAAAAAAAAAAAAAGAGAGAGAGAGAAGGGTCTTTCACCTGCTGGTTTAATTCCCAGATGTCCACAGTGGCCAAAGATAAGCTTATCTGAAGCTGGGAGCCAGGACTTCTTCCATGTGAGTGTAGTGCCCAAGGACCTGAGGCATCCTCCCCTGCTTTCCTAGACCGCAAGCAGGGAGCTGGTTGGAAGTAAGCAGCTAGGACAGGAACTGGCACCTGTATGGGCTGCTGACACCACAGCGCAGAAGATTAAGCTGCCGTATCACTGCACTGGCCCTTGTTTTTTTTCTTCTGCTTTTTAAATTAAGAGGGGACTCTTCCTCCAAAACTGCCAAGCAGATTTCCATTGAGTTCCAGCGACAAACTTTGTTTACAAGTGTATAATCTAGCTGCACAGGAGGCTTGAAAAACAGATGTTGGCACATTCATTTGCTGTAGCAGGAGAAGGTGCAGAAAAATGAAGGCCCCTTAGGAAGATGGCTAGAGTAACTACCTCCATAGTGTTTCAGCCTTTTGTT